GAACTTGCTCGATTTCGGTCTCGGTTCAACTTCGGCGATTAATCCAAATATCTCTATTTCGAATATCACGTCGACTTAAAATAATTAATCCCGACTAATGATACCCGTTTATAAAAATAAACGTATTAATTATTAGAATTGATTCGGTTACTGACTATCATTAAACTGAATCGATTTTCAACATAAAGTCGAACTTATATCTGAATCACTTACTAACTGGGCTCGAAACTCATCTTTGACGATTTATCGAATATTCTCGAATTCGATTAATACGTCAACACTGTAATATTTAATCCTGAACTTACTAATGTCCATTTATAAAAATAAACGGACTGAGATTAATTACTAGAATTTAACTCGGTTAATGAATAAAATCAACCGAATATATTTTTGACTTAACGTCGAACTTGGAACTTAACTAGTTGAATAACTTAAGCTCGAATACTAATACTGAGCATTTATTAATAAAGTCTGGCTTATACTCGGAAGCTAGTGTCTTTCCTTTATTAATAAAAGACTGGGGCGTTACAGATTATGTGTGGACTATAGATATTTAAATGGGATGACCATCAAACATGATTACCCCATACCTGTCATTGATGAATTACTTGATGAGTTGCATGGCTCTAATTTCTTCTCTAAGATTGATTTAAGAGCAGGGTATTTTCAGATACTAATTAAACTTGAGCACATATTTTTGACTGCTTTTATTACTCACAATGGGCATTATGAATTCTTGGTGATGACCTTTGGTTTGTGTAATGCCCCTGCCACCTTCCAATCTCTTATGAATCAGGTGTTTAGGGACAAACTCAGAAAAAGTGTGTTGGTATTTTTTTTATGATACTTTGGTATACAGTAAAACTTGGGAAGAGCACTTGCAACATTTGAAGGAGGTCCTCATGGATTTGAGGGAAAACAACCTATATGCTAAGAAGAGCAAATGTTATTTTGTCCAAAAAGAGGTGGAGTACCTAGGGCATATAATATCCCAAGATTGTGTATCAACTGATCCACAGAAGATTTCTAGCATGCTAACATGGCCTAACCCAAAGAATGTCAAACAACTGAGGGGTTTCTTGGGACTGACAGGGTACTACATAAAGTTTGTAAACGGATAGAAGGACAATTTTGGGTGGAATAGTGAAGCAGAAACAACCTTCATCAAACTGAAGGAAGCTGTGGCCTCTGCTCCAGTATTGGCATTACCTGATTTCACTAAGCCATTTATCCTTGAGACTGATGCAAGTGGTACTTGAATTGGAGGAGTCCTGATGCAACAATGGAGGCTTATTGCCTATATCAGCAAAACTCTAAGCCCTAGGAACCAAGGGTTATCAATTTATGAGAGAGAGTTCATGGCAGTATTAATGGCAGTGCAAAGGTGGAGACATTACTTGCAGGGATATAGGTTCATTATCAAAACTGATCAACAGGCCTTAAGGCACTTATTAGACCGGAAGGTGACCACCCCACTACAACAAAAGTGGATCACAAAGTTACTGGGATTAGACTATGAGATTCAGTACAAAAAAAGGCTGGAAAACAGGGCTGCTGATGCCTTGTCAAGGGTGCCAAATGAGGAGAAATGTAATGCCCTAACCACAGTAGTCCCAAGTTGGTTGAAGGAGGTGATTCAAAGTTATCAATGGGATGAGTATTTCACAATGTTGGTGGCAGCTCTATTAGTGAACACAAATTCTTTCCCTGGATTTTCTCTTTCTAAGGGTATTGTGAGATACAAAGGAAGGATAAGAGTGGGAAACAGCCAAAACATGAGGGAAACCCTTATGACAACCATGCATGACTCAGCCTATGGAGGCCGTTCAGGGATACATGGTACTTATCAGAGGTTACACTCAGTTTTCTATCGGTCTTCCATGAAAAAGGATGTTCAGAAAAAAGTCCAAGAATGTGATGTTTGTCAGAGAAGCAAATCTGACAAGACAGGATACCAAGGTTTACTGCAACCTTTACCAGTGCCTACCCAAGATTGGACTCACATTTCAATGGATTTTGTAGAAGGACTCCCAATATCCAATGGCAAAGATGTAAATTTGTGGTCATAGATACATTTACTAAATTTGCTCACTTCATGGCAATGTCACATCCATTTACTGCTCCTACAGTTGCTAAGGTTTTCTTAGACCACATCTACAAACTTCATGGCCTACCTGTGAGTATCATTTCTGATAGGGACAAGATTTTCACAATTTCCTTATGGAGGGAGTTGTTTAAACTAATGGGGGTTCAACTACAATTCTCTTCTACATACCACCCACAAACAGATGGCCAAACAGAGAGGGTGAACCAATGCCTTGAGAATTACCTACAGTGCATGGTACAGTTGAACCCTAAACATTGGCAAATGTGGCTCTCTAGCTGAGTTTTGGTATAATAATAACTACCACACTAGCTTAAAGGCTACTCATTTTCAGGCCTTGAGAATTACCTACAGTGCATGGTACAGTTGAACCCTAAACATTGGCAAATGTGGCTCTCTAGCTGAGTTTTGGTATAATAATAACTACCACACTAGCTTAAAGGCTACTCATTTTCAGGCTCTTTATGGGTATAAACCCCCTATACTTTCAGTCACATCTTATTTACAACCTGAACAAGGGATACCAGAAGAACTTGTCTAAGACAGACAGAGAGCAGTCCAAATTCTCAGAGAAAATCTAATACAAGCTCAACACATGATGAAAATGATTGCAGACAACAACCAACAAGAGAAAATATTTAAGGTGGGGGATAGAGTATTTTTCAAACTGCAACCTTTTCTTCAAAATTCAGTTTCTCTGCAGAAAAATTTAAAACTTTCTGCCAAATATTATGGTCCCTACACTATTGTTGAAAAGGTCAGAGAAGTGGCTTACTGTTTGGCCCTCCCACCTGGTTCTCGCATTCACCCGATCTTTCATGTGTCTCTTCTCAAGCTTAAATTGGGGCCAGATAAGCCGACATTCTTGGATCTACTCCTTACTGATGTTGATGGGATCTTCAAAATCTCTCCTTTGCGAGTGTTGGCGAGGAAAACAGTGGAAAGGAAAGGGATCTCTGTTTCTAGGGTTTTGATACAGTGGTTGAATGGGGAAGAAGAAATGAAAACTTGGGAGGATGAGAAATTCATTAAGAGGAAATTCCCTGCTTTTGATCCTTGCGGACAAGGATCATCTCAATAAGGGGGTATTGTTATGGCTATGAAGAAGAAAGACGGGGTTAGAGGGATCGGAGATGAAGAGGACGCGACGGTTCTTGAGACAAGTGCGACTGAGAAGCTTTGGATCACGGTGGTCATGACTTAGGCGAAAATGAAGTTGATGGACCACGTGAAGGGATCACAGTTGAGACGGTTCAGGAGCATGCTAAGTTGTTGGGCCAAGAAATTAATGTCATCTGAGTACCTTTATTTATTGTTTGGCCAACGTTGGCCCAAAACCTTATTTTACTTAATTTTGTCGTATGAGGGTATTATGGGAATTAGTAGGGAAATTATGTGGTCCCGCAAGTTTGTTATGTAAATGGAAACTACACATGAATGAAATCAGAATTTTGCATAATTATTCTCTTTCTAACTTCTCTCTACATTCTCCCTCTATCTTCTTCTTCCTCCTCCCTCCATTTATGTTCTATCAAGGTAAAATTACAAGTTATATCAAGTCCCATAACATAATATATCAATAATTTTTCCTAAAACCTAATTACGAAGCATAATTCTTTGCCAATTAGGATGACGAAACACTAGAATCAAACACGTAGGCTCAGCGCATTCAAGAATTATATATAGGGGTGATAAATATGCTACATTTTACAATTTATAAATGGTTTGATTTATTTTTGTCACTAGCTTCTAGTTTTATTTGTTTATGACTTGTCTTATTTTCGTAAGAATATAAAAAAGTGTTGTAACCATGTAAAAGAGACCCCTGCCTTAATAAGACAACCAAGATGGGTAATCCAAAAAATTAGTTCTCCAAAACCAAGACAGTATAGGAAGAATCATTATTTTCAAAATCGGACCGGCCCATTGGTTACCGACCGCAGACTGTCCGTTTCGCTGGACTAAATCGGTTGCCAGCGAACCTGTAAAAAACCAATCAACGACCAGTTGACCCAGTCAAAACCAACCAAAAACCTACTAATTAAATTGATGTGAACAGGTCTAGATTTTAATTATTTTTAATATAAATTTAAAACACATATTTTTTTTTTTTTTTTGTTTTTCCGAAACGATAGAAGCTATATATAAACTCAAAAGAGAACAACGTTCGAATACAACGGGACCAAAAGTCCAATAACGAAAAACTAACAGCCGAAACGTAAAATGAGAGGACACGCTTATAAAACGGCCTAAAAGGCAACAAAGAAAAAGAAGAGGGATTGCATACCACTACACAAAACCTAGCATACTCACCAACTCCTAACCAACAAAAACAAACAACAACCAAACCAAGAACCTACCTAAGAAATCAAGAACAAAAAACAAGAAACCTAGAAGTAGCCTCAAATCCTTGCAGCCAGAAACGCTTGCCAATCCTTCAAAGCTCTTCTAACAAGCACATGGACTGGCATCAACACCTTCTCAAACATCCAAATATTTCTACTCTTCCACCGCCACCAAAGGAGATAGGTGTTAAATTTGAAATTTTATAAATTGCATAAATATTTAATTAATAATGTTTTAAGTATAAATTTTACTACATAAAATATTATATGTACTTAAATATATTAATAAAGTAAGTAGCAGACAAATTTGATTAACCTCTAGTCCGAAAATTGACTAGTTCGATGACTGTTTCATTTTTGAGAAAAACTCATCTCATATTTCTCAGGTTAAAAGAAAATATAAATAAAAAAAAAAAAAAACTCTCATCTCATGTAACTGCTTAGGAAGAACATTACTCTCCAAAACTCCAGCTCTCGGTATAAAGTGTCCAATAAAGTTAGATAATAAAATGAAAAGAGAAAAAAAAAATAAAATTGTAAGGATACGTCTACTATGATTTTTCTTGGGCTTCTGCATCGCCCTTTTGGCCACCTAGAGTTTGCAATTCGAGCAGCTTCTGCTTTTCATCATCACTCTCCCCGACCTTAACAACTTCACTGGTGGTTTTCGCCTTACCACTCGTTGACTGCTGATACATAACTCCACCTCCCATGCAGATGAGGAGCCCCACAGTCCCCACAACCGTTGAGTGCTTGTCCCAAATAACCAAATTTATCACCACCGTCAACAGCTTATTCACTATCCCAAGAACTGTGAATCCCGTGGCTGAGATTGCCCTACGGCACGAAAACCCAAAAAACGAGATCGCCAGTCCAAACAAACATGACAACCCAACTGGCAAAACCACCCCAAATGAGTAAGGCCCATCCACTCCGTCATCCGAGATATCACGCTCGATTTTCTTCAACTCCCCCATCACAAGCAACTCCAAAGGGAATAACAGTAGAGCCTCGAGATTGTTATACAACACGAGCCCCCACGTGTTCAACCCGATTGTCATCACAACATGCTTGATATAAACAAAATCTATGGACATGCTCACCAAATATGCGAGAGCCCAGCTATAGGCCGCGAGCGTGAACTGGTAATCAGTTATCACGTAAAGCACACTACCGGCAAATATAGTGGCGAGCGAGAGCCAAGTCTTTAGAGCTGGCCACGGCTGGTGCAAGTACAGGGTTTCGCCAATGGCAACAAAAATGGGCACGGCCGAACGGAAAACAATGAAGGTGTCGACATTCGCGTGAAGGAGAAGCTCGCTGTTGGTGAATAATGACAAATAGAAAATAAAAGCGGCGGGCAAGAAGCGCCACATCGTGAGAAGGTCGAGCTTGTCGTGTTCGATTACCTTGAGCCAGCCGCAAATGATGACCCCCATGAAACTAGTCAAGTATTGCAGTGCAGTTAGGGCTCCAGGGTACGGGAACTTCATCACAGCCCATTTGTTGATAATCGATAGCAATGACGCGGAGATGCAATAGCCGGCGGCTATTCCGTAAACTGAGGCATGTTTGATCAAGGAATCACAACAAGAAGAGATGGGTCCGGGTGGGTCCGGATGGAGATTGGGTGATGTGTTTTCTTTATCAGGGTTTTTGACATCGTTGGACATTTGATCTGCATCTACATTTTCAGCAGAAAAATGGGAAAATAGATTATTATAAGATTGGAATTTCATTCACACAGTTAATGAATAGGCTTGAAAGGATTCACACACAAGCATACAACGTGTACTCGGACAATGAAATTGGTACACATCTCACAGAGTGTTTCATTTACAGCTATTTATTATAGTTCTTCAATTTATTTCTTCTACACTTGAAGTTATTATTGGGAATTCGAGTTATTGCTACAAGACATACTTTGTGGCAGCTGACTAAAAGAACAGATGTGGTTATAATTTTATGAAAACACAACCACTTTAAGATGAAACTGTAGAATAGGTTTACAATGGGAGATAAAGTTATTTTTCCGTTAAATTTACAAACTCTAGATCCATGCGTAAGTTCAAACTCCTTTCCCAATAAAATGCATTAGATTAGGTGTATTCCCATAGAAAACAGGATAGCAACACAAACCTATAAGTAAAGATAGGATACGGATCCTATCTAATACATTACTGCCTCACACATGATATAAAATTTCTGAAATAACAAATTAGGGAAGAAAATTTGTGAAAAGGTAATTTCAAGATCAATAATCAAAACCAAAAACCCTCCAACACCTTTATTAAAACCATAAACAGTTCCCAGCCGAAAAAAGAACCTCACAGTTGCAAAAGGATACTATCTATTGGCCAAAATAAAAAAGGAAATATATCAAGAGGGCAGCATGATTTTGCTTGAAAAGCCAAAATCAGAAGAGAACATTCAAAGTAATTGGTCCGGAAAGAGGATCTACAAACAGAACAAAGAATACAAACAACGATGTGGGGAAAACGATATCAAGTGAGGAAGGAAATACAAGTCAATTATGTTTAAACAAAATCATGAAAATCAAGAACACCAAATAATAATATAGAACCAAAGCCAAATCCAGAAACAAATAATAGAAACAAAACTCCATCTGAAATCTGTACCCAATCCAAATTAATTAAGTAGAGAAAAAGGAATTTAAGATTCATATCGGACGTATTTCCCTCCAAGATACGGTAAACGTTAAGCCAAACATCTTCTTCAATGAAAGGATAACATATTTTGCAGTAGTGAAATACACAATGTATTATGCCTTGACCTGCTATGTATCTGGAGTGAAAACCCAGTTACTCTCACAGAGGAGAGAGGCAATGAACTTGGTGAAGCTGAAGAAGTATAAATACTGAATTTAGGCGATTTTGTGTTTTAAATTTTTATTTAAGCTCACAGATAAACCGCACTCATTCGAAGGGGTAAAAGATAGAACACATCCATCAAATACACGAATCAGTTCAAACGACGGAAGTACAGTGAAAATCGAAATGGAGACAAAATCAATGAACGGCTAATCCACACATAAACACACATGTCTATGGCCTCTCAAGTAGTCGAATTCCCATAGAAAACGAGAATATCAAATAGATAACAACAAATTCAGAAATTCCCGAAAGAGAAACATTAAGGAAGAAAAACGTACTCAGCGGAGAACATCCGAAACAATACGCCTTTGGACTTGTTCTGCCCTTGAGATCAATGGAGATGTTGCCGGTATAGATATGTTTTCTTCCGAGCAGTGTAGTGATTCGGGATCTCGGGTAAATGTGAGGTTCACTGTGTTATTACTGGTTCAGAGCAATTATTTTAGGTGAAAATTTGGCTAAAGGTGTTGTTAGAAGAAATGGGGAGTTTGGATCTCGTGAATGTGTGTCGGTGGGTGGGCGCCGTTGAGGGTTGGGGAAGACTGAAGCTTAAAATAGCAAATGAGAAACAGGATATTAATAGTTAGAGTAATGCTGCACGTACATAATACTGTATATAAGGGTGTACATAACACTTATATTGAGTGGGACCCACTAAAAATATAAAATCAAGTGGACCTTATTCCATGTGAGTGTTATGTACATTTATTATGTACATGTAGCATTTTCCTAATAATTAAGGGGTAAAATGCTTGTTCACATACAAACTATCACTGTTTTGGCGCATCACTATATAAACTATTTTTTTTACAAACCATCATATGAACTGTACGAGTTTGTCAATGTGCCTATAAGCCGGATATAAAAATTGTTTTGACCATTTAAAGCTGTTATTAATGGCATTTTAATAATTTCACATATTTTTCAGAAAAAAATGAAAAAAATGAATAAGTTAGTTTCAAAAAATAAAATAAAATTAAAAAATAAAATGAAAAATGAGGCTCGTTCCAAAATGTCTTGGACCAGAAATATCTGCTACGCTACCGGAGCCTCCGTCGGCCTGCACATTCGTCGGCCCCACCGCCGCCGCCCGTTCGCAGTGGAAACCGATGCATGCGCGACAATTGAGGGCACATCACGTCAAGCTCATTGTGGGTACGTGGTAGAAGGCGGTGGTGGGGCCAGCGACGGTGCAGGCCGGCGGGGGCTCCGGTGGCGTAGCAGGTATTTATGGTCCAAAGCATTTTGGAACGAGCTTCATTTCTCATATTCTTTATTTTTTTATATTTTATTTTTTATTTTTTGAAACCAACTTCTTCATTTTTTTCATTTTTTTTTTATTTTCTGAAAAATGTGTGAAATTACTAAAATGCTATTAAAAAACATCTTTTTTAGTCAAAACCATTTTCATATCCGGTTTAGGAGGCACATTGACAAATCTGTATAGTTCATATGGTGGTTTGTAAAAAAAATTAGTTTATATGGTGATGCGCCAAAACCGTGATAGTTCGGATGGAAAAGAGTATTTTACCCATAATTAAGCCTAAATTCAAAAATTAATCATGTATTCATTCATGCATAAATTTATTTAAAAATAAATTGGATGGACCAGCTAGAGTACACATCCTTCAGATTCGGACGACCGCCACCACCTGACCCTGACTAGACTCGTCGTTTTGGACCTCATGCCAGGTCACTCTGACCAGGATGGCCTTTTATGATGACTTGGTTTTAGATCCTCTAGATATTTAGTGATCTGTGTATTTTTTATTTTTATGTTTTGATGTTGTTCTATGTACCTTCGACATTGATGTAGACCATTGACTTTTCAGCCCTCTCTGGGCCATTATATTCACAGGTCGTGGGTTTAGCCTCAACCCCCATCCCACACTAGGAAGAGATTTGAAATATTGTGGTGAAGGTTTTAAAATGGCTTGGTGGCAGATTTTTTTTTTTTCCAAACAATAAAAACATTCTCATAAACTTAAATAACAAGGTCCGTACAACATAAGCCTGACATATGAGAGCTCCACTACTAGGTGGGCTAGATAACAAACAAAAACAATACCACTATCACTAATCCATCTAGCTAACTTATGTAGGCAAATGAGATCGCAATCTCAAGAACACCAAAATACGATATCAATTTTTATTTCATTCTCAACTATGTCATAACAAAGCAGAAAAGCTCTTTAAATAAAGGACCTAACCCTAGACCTTAACTTGTCCAACAAGACAAGAACTCTTACTATATATTTGATATAGCCCTATCGTCATAGCTCGATTCAAATACTAACTACCCGACTGAACAAACACTGCTGACGACGCCGTTAAGTCGACCTCCCCAAGGTCGGCTTGGCCCATCGGCCATTTAAAGACCATCATCGACCTGATAACGGTCCCAAGACGACTTCAGGAAGTCGACCTGAATGTAAGTCGACTTTCCTCAAGAAGACGAGCAGACGCTCCAGGAGTCCCGGGCGCATATATAACCTCAAGTCGACTCATAAGACCTCCGACGACTTGACATACTTAGGAACACCATAGGGAGAATCTCCAAGTGAGACTAAGTGCACACAAGATAAGAAGGAATCTAGATGCTGAATCAGGAGTGGGCAGTATGCGACCCGACCAGGGCATTTTAGACACTTCATGTAAGTCGGCCAGAGCATTTTAGGTACTTCAAGTAAGTGTTTCTGCTCCTATATAAAGGAGTGAGGTAACTCTAAACCCTAACTTTCATTCTCTTCATTCATTATTCAGCTGTTGCTCCTACTGAGCAGAGCTCATCTTCTTCTCTCTCACTGACTTAAGCGTCGGAGGCTCTTCACCGGAAAACACTTTCGGTGTTGAGTTCTTGCAGGTGTTCATGGCGGCTCACGGACGACTTGGAGACTATTCAAACAGACCGGAGCTCATTTCCACCGGTTCACTTCAGATCTAGGAGGAGACCCATCAAATTGGCGCCGTCTGTGGGAAGTTCTTGAAGGAAGTAAGAGCTTTGCACCTAGTTCTGATCTGTTTGACATGGCGGAGAAGGAACGACTGTCGAGAAATCTGAACGAGGACTTTCGGGCAACGTGGACAGACAAATGGCCGACGTCGATTCTTAGCCCTAGACCACCACTTCAGATGCTCGATTTCTCGCCGTTCGGAGGGCACACGCCGTCGGGAGCGCGTATGGAAGAAGAAACATCCATCACACCACCTGGGGTGAAGATTCCAGGGCTGACACAAGGAGGATCTAGCCAGACAAAGGCCAACGATGCGGGGACCGACGGGCATGAGTCGACTGAAACGACTTTGAGCTTCGAAAAGCAGTCTAGAATGTTAGAGCAAGGGGCGAGACCACTACCCCAGGTTGAGGAGCAAACGATGACTATGACGAGGAGTGAGATGCAGAGAATGATTGCGGAGGCGGTGGCAGACCAACTCAAACAGGTTCAAGTCGAGCCGCCTGGGGTCGAGCAACATAGGATTGAGTAACCTAGGGTCGAACAACATATGGTCGAGTTGCCACCCCATGATCACGAGCAACAAGCCCAGTCCAATGATAGGCAGATCAGGAGGGTGGAGGAGGAAGCATCCTCCATTAGGACTGTCAATCCGCGGGCGAGAGACGAGACACTAGAGCAGTTTCTGGCCCAAGTTCGCGATTTACAGGCCCGAGTCAAGGGGAGGAAAGTTGAAGGCTCAAGGGGGCATCCGTTCTCGCAACACATTCTGGATGTCGGCCTGCCGCAAGGATTTCGTGATCTAAACATAAGTTATGATGGGTCGACTGATCCATCTCGTCATATGAGGAGTTTCGAGAATATGGCGATTTAGCATCGTTATAATGACCCGGTGCAATGTCGATCTTTCCTGACGACTTTGTTGGGATCTGCACATGATTGGTTTCATCAACTACTAGCGGGAGCCATCAAGGACTTTGAGGGATTCAGTGCGAGCTTTCTCAATCAATTTGCAAGTGTCAAACCGCAAGAGAAATCGTATCTGACCTTGATGGGCATTCAGCAGAAAGAAGGCGAGTCACTGCGAGATTATGTGGCGAGATACACGCAAGCGTGCGTCGAGGTGCCCAGGGCATCGGAGGAAATCAAGGCAGGAGGTTTGACTCCAGGGTTGTTACCGGGCTTATGCAGAAATTCTTTAGCAAAGCGCCCGGGTAGAACGTTTGATGAAGTATTAGGGAGATGTGCGAAGTATATGAATGTCGAGGAAGCTGAAGCCGACTTCTTGCAGACGGTGAAAGCGAGTAAAGTTGACTCTCGGGACGAGAGGAGGGATAAGAAAATTTCCTCGACTGGGGAAAGGAAGGGGTCCCCACGAGCAGAAAGAGATGGGCGATCTAGAGGTTGGAGGTCGACTCAATACACTCCTTTGTCGGCCCCCCAAGCGCGAATTTTGGAGGTAATGGAAAGAGAAATTCATGACAATGTCGTCAGATGGCCCAAGACGAGGAAGGACGGACCGACGAGACCAAAAGGTAATCTATACTGTCGATTTCATAAGGATTATGGGCAGAATACTGACGACTGCAGACATCTTAAGGACGAGATGGAAAGGCTGATTAAGGCAGGACACTTAAAGGAATTCATATATAAGGATCGGGAAAAGTCGAGCAGGAGAAGAGAAAGGAGTAGGAGCCCTCGCAAGAGGGCGAGAATGCCTGAGAAGGAGGAACTTCCTCAAAAAAGGGGAGTTATACATATGATATTTGGTGGATTGACTGTGGGAGATTCGAATTGAGCGAGGGAGGCATATGCTCGAGGGCGCCATGGAAAAGTCGAGGTACAACAAGTCGACGAGAATGGTCCAGTGATGAATTTTAGGCCACCAGACGTGGGAGAGGTTGAGAGGCCTCACAATGATGCACTAATGATAACCGCTCAAGTATCAGGATACAAAGTACATAGAGTGTTTGTCGACACTAGGAGTTCAGTGAATGTGATATTCTACGATTGTCTCAAAAGGATGGAGCTAGACATACAACTCACACCCCTCCGTACCTTGCTATTTGGTTTCAATGGATCAGATGTCGCGCCCCTAGGGGAGACCATGCTCGTTGTCATCATAAGGCGACTTGCGGAAGGTAAAAATGGTGAGATTCGTGGTGGTCGATGTCGAGTCGGCTTACAATGTGATCCTGGAAAGGCCCGTTCTTAAAGCATTTCAGGCTGTGGTGTCGACTTATCACATGAAGTTGAAATTCCTAGTCGGGGATCGAGTGGGAGAAGCTAGAGGCGATCAAAAGTTGTCGAGCACTTGTTATCAAATCGCTGTGAAAACCAGCCAGCGCGTCGAAGTTAAGGAGGGGAAGAAGCCAATGTCGAACGAAAGAAGGCCAAGGAATAGTGATCTTGAACCACACTGGGAGTTGATGGAGATACAAATTGGAGAAACAAAGGAACAGACCACTAAGATCGGGAAAGATCTGAAAGACGAGCTACGAGACCAACTCATCGCGTTGCTAAAGAAGTTCAGGGATGTTTTTGCCTTCACCCTTGAGGAGTTGACGGGGATCGACCCCACCATTATGGAGCATAAACTCAATGTCGACCCCCTCAAAAAGCCAGTGAAACAACGACTTAGACACTATGGTGGAGAAATCGACAAAGCCATTGAAGTCAAGGTGGATAAGTTGCTGCGAGCGGGGCACGTCAAAGAAATCCAATTCCCCGAGTAGATATCCAACACAGTAATGGTAAGGAAGGCACTAAAAAAATGGCACATGTGCATCAATTTTCGTGACTTAAACTTGGCCTGCCCAAAAGATCATTATCTCTTACCACGAATTGATCAGCTAGTCGACTGCACGACTGGTTGCGAATTGCTGAGTATGATGGGTGCATCTCATGGATATCACCAGATTCCATTGGCCCCTGAAGATCAAAGTAAGGTGAGTTTTGTGACGAGCAAAGGGATGTACTGCTATGTCGTCATGCCCTTTGGGCTTAAGAATGCTGGAGCAACCTACCAACGGTTGATGGATCGTATTTTCAAATCTCAGATCGGGCGAAATATCGAGGTATATGTGGACGATATCTTGGTGAAGATTAAGTCCTCGACTTTACACCTAGACGACTTAAGGAAAACATTTAAAACCCTTAGGGCGTTTGGGATGAAGTTGAACCCAAGCAAGTGTGCCTTTGGAGTAAAAGCAGGTCGATTCCTGGGGTATATTGTCACAGAGTGAGGAATCGAAGTAAACAGGGAGAAGGTGAAAGCCATACTCGACATG